AGCAGGAATAGATATCAGGATGAAGTATGATACTAGAATGCACTTAAGCCATGAAAAGTTTAAAGGCGAAGACAAATAAGTTTTGGATAGAAACAAAGAGAATCAGATACATAAATACAGTCTGATTTTACAAAGCAGGAAAATGATCTTGCAGAATATTCTAAATGACTAGATAACATTGCATTGGCCAAGAAAAAGGAATTACTGAAATTAAGATGCAAAATAAGAACATTTTAACTCTGGTAATGGTTATAATAGGCCATATCTAACAAAGGTCTCAAAGAAAGAATCTGCAAGATTTGGACACACATCAAACACAAACATTTAGAGAAAGGCCCAAAGCAAAGTTTACGTGCCAGACGGTACAGTCATCCTGCTCATCTGAAATGAATGACAAAGACAACAGCAGGGGAAAATTAATAGGTCCATTTTTACCAAGCAGAATTTAAATTGATGGATAGCAATTCATAATGGGATGTCTAAAAGAGACAAAAGGATTTTAGTTTGAAAAGTGAAAATAGATTTAACTATTTACAAACAGTGAGTCTCTCAAGCACACAAATGTTACGAACCAGTATGTTGGATTAAGTGCTTGGATACAAACTCTGCTATAAATTATGTTTTCTGATCATGAAAAGCTAATGCAACCCCAAGAAGTGTAAATTTTACAGAATGCAGTGAGAGCATTTCTTTGATCTATCATTTCTAACTAAAGATCTTAAAAATTGGGCCAACAGGAATGGTAGTTAAAGTAGAAGTTGGCAAAGCAATAGTTAAAACGTCAAAGGACTCCAAGAACATTGCTAATTCCTTGACTATACAGGAACCACTTAGTATATTTGCATTAAATGGAATACTTAAATAAACTACATGAAAACTGAAATCAGGAGAAGCAGAGGGACATCAAGAGCAATGGAAGAGAGAGAAAGGTCACATTTGTTTCCCTGATTGGCCTGATGAGGACAGAAAAAGGGGCTCATCAGCCCCCCAAGTCATTTTGAAGTCCTTTTCTAAGAAAAAAGCATCCACAATATGGGCTGCTGCCATTTGCTCACTTTTGTGCCTGAAGTACACACTAAAAAGCTCACGTGACAACTACAAAAAAACCTCACGGTTGCACTAGATACTCTCCAAAAATTATCTCCATTGTCTTATTTGTCCTCTTCTGCAACTCTGTTTCTAATTAATTAGTCAAGAGCTCAGCCTTTTGTTTCCCTGGAATAAAACCAAACATTCACCTTTAAGCTTGTCTGGTGTGAAAAGTCATTTCAATTATAGCTAGTGAGATATATTGCTGCTCCATTACAGATCTATAAGCGTTTGCATGTACAGGTATCCCATAAAGATACTGGCATAACAAAAATACATTAGGAACTTCAGGAATTCAGACATGACTTCCACCAAGCCAGACAGATGCAAGTGAAAAATCTCATCTCATAGATGAAACCAGCATAGATCAGCATCTGCTGTAGCAAAAGCAGGTAAGGCTTGCTAAAAGACTTGTTTCTCATGAACTCTAGAGAGTTCAATTCTGATTTGTAGGTGAGACTAAACAGAGACCTAGTGAGGTGAAAAAAGAAAAGAGTATCTAGGAAAGAAGTATGAAACTCCCACAGAAATCCCTTTCCTGAAGATGTGAGGTAAAAAAAAAACAGGTAACAAGAAAACTGCAGAATCTATGTAAGGAAAAAATTGTAAACACCATCATGGTCAACTCTATGGAGAGCAAATGACATTTCAAAGAAGACAAGGACAAAATAGTCGTTTTAAGTTAGGACCAGAGAGATTTGATTAGATCATATCTTCCGGTTATCTATACAAACAACATTTTCATTACCCTCTGAATTGCTGCTATACATCACTTATTTGCAGTGAAGAGCTGATGGACAGTGCTAACTCAAAATGGAAAAGGAAATCGTATTTTAAATTACTATCTGCAAGGCTAGGTATCAAATTCTGAGCAAACAGCTGAGACAGTATAAATAGTTACTCCAAGTCAAATCTTGATACAACTTTACTTGAGAAATTAAGAGTCAGTCACTGAAATTTTTATTAGGTAGTAGCAAGGGAATAGAAAAGCACTAGAAAGTGATAGATAAAACACAAATGGGTGCTTTACAATCTACCCACACACAGTCAATTCAATAGCAATTCAGTCTTGATTGAATAATTCTGCT